AGATAAAGGTGCTGCAGAACCAGAACCAGGTGTTCTGAGGTTAGAACTGGTTTTACATTTGGTGTTCTGGTGTCGTGTTGTTAGACGAGAACGTTCAGTGTTGATCAGTCAGTCGATGCTTCAGAACCAACTTCAGAGATCTTGCGTGAGGTTTTATGGCTGCAGGCTTCAGGTGTTCTTACCTGTTGGAGCGACCAGGTGAGTCTATGTTTTCTCTGCAGGTTTCAGTCCAGATGGTTTTCATGACGAGTCGACCCGACAGCAGACCTGAACTTTGCAGCAGAATCATCTTCTGATGTCCAGAAAGTGGAGGAAGGTTTCCATTCTGGTCCTCTGAGCAGCTGGTCGATGATCCGGTTGAAGTCACAGAAAAACTTCAGCAGCGCGACTGAAAACGTGACGACGACCCGAGAGTTGGTTTAAGTTCTGTGGAGCTATAAGAGCGTGCAGGTCCAGTGTGATGATACCGTGTGACCTGCACTGAGCTGCTGTGATGGCTGAACACAGCAGATGTTCAGGAGATCAAACCTGCTGCTGCAGAAGGTTCCTCAGCTTCAGTCTCTGGTTGCTGCTGTAATGATGAGACAGCAGCAGGGGGCGCTCTGGGCTTCACCCAGTCTGACCTGCTTCAGTCACATTAAATGCAGCAAAAGACAAGAAGTCAAAGTCAAAACGGGATTTGATGACTTAAGAAAATCTGATATTGTTGACGAATGTGTTCTGAAGGAAAGTTGTGATGAGCGTCGGTGTGTCTGGAGGCGAAGCTGCAGCTGTCCATCCTGAAAAGTCCACGTTCTGTGGAACAATCAGCGAGTTTCACTGAAGATGAAGCTTTTCTAAGTGCTTTTAGTTCAATTAAAAACCGGCCTGTTTATATTTATGATCATTTGTGTGAGATCACAGAGATACAAATGCCATTTAGCCCTACATTGTTTATTCTGGCTGATGATTCAGTTCTGGTAGGAGAGGATAAACATACTAAAAGTCCAAACCAGTGTTATGATTGGTAGGCAAACACTTGTTAGAAGATGGAAGACGGAGGGGTGCCCTCTCTCCAAGAGTGGGCTGTGGAGGTGGCACGAGTCACAGCATTTGAAAAAATGTCATTTAGACAACTGTGTAGATTGGACCTATATGAAGCAAAGTGGGGCAGATATGTGAGGTTCTTAAAGGGTTCCTGATGTGGTTACATGGTGGAGAGAAGTCAGCCGTCATTTTTGTGGGAAAATACAGAACAGTGCTTCTTATTTGTTTGNGCGCCCCGAGCATCACAGTGAACTTCACTCCTAATGTTCATACAGTAACACAAACTGTATGCATGTATTCAAGCTTTTATTTAAGTATAAACAACACACTAAATGAAACTGAAGAAACAAGTCTTTGCACTCCCAGGCTACCTGACGTGTATTCAGGCAAATATTTAACCACAAGCGCCGATGCAGGTCCTCTACCCTCTTAAGACGGTTCGCTAACGTCTTAGCTGCTAACGTTAGCAGCTAACGTTAGCAGCTAAGACACTAACATAACGTCTTTGCTCCAAACGTTAGCAGCTAAGACGCTAACGTAACGTCTTTGCTGCTAAAGGTAGACAAACTGCATCGGCGCTTGTTGATAAATACTTGCCTGAATACATGTCAGTTAGCCTGGCTAGCTTGTGGCGCCCCCCGTGGATGTCGGCGCCCTTAGCATTTGCCTGTACTGCCTATGCTTAGGGCCGGCTCTGGACTAAATGAACCTCAAAAACGTGGAGGAAAAGTTCAGGATGTAAACCAGTAAATCAAAATGCTCTGATCAGATCTGGTGAAACATGGATGAGATGTTTAGTGTTGAGGTTGTTGCATGTTCTGTTTGAATAATTAGCCAGCGTTAGCGATGAGCTCTGGACATGCACTCAGCCGTTAGCCGTTAGCTGTTAGCTGTTAGCCGTTAGCTAGTGATGTGACTTCAGCTCAGAGTCCCACAACTTTTCAGACCTGCGATTTTTGATTTCAAAATGACTGAGATCGGGTTTAAAATGAAACCGAACAAACATTGCAGAGAGTTTGTTGTCAGACGGTGAAGGTAGGTGATCATTTTGGTCTTTGTCATTGATCGATCTGAGGATTTTCTGATTGTTTAAAAAAAACTAACAACTACAAAAGACTATTTTATCACAAGCGTTCTGTGGTCAGTACACCGTTTTTAGGCTGTTACGACGCCTGTAGCAGCTGGTGCAGTACTTACCTTTTAGTCAATTATATGCTTGACATAGTGAGCTAGGAAGCTTTAACGGATATCAGAACAGTCATACAGCTCAACAGGAGCAGAACCACACCGGACAGAACCAGATACAACCTGGTTCAAAGGCAGTTTTACACAGATATCTGTAAATATTGTAGTTGTTTCATATAAAAATCTGTCTGGTTTCACAAAGATTCACTGTCAGACTTCTGAAGTAGAACTTCTTCTTCCAGGACTGTGACTGTCTGTAGTGTTCAGCTGCTCTGATTGGTTGGTTGGTTGGTTGGTTGGTGTGCTTCCAACTCCACATCATTCCATTACTATACAGCTAAACTGCTTCTCTAATGAGAAAAATGTACTTTCTGCTCGAGGGAAGTCATGAAGTTTTCAAAACGTAGAAGGTGAATTAGAGCTCAGTTTAGCTGGATGGCAATGTGCTGCTGCAGGTAGAGAACCGTCAGTGCCGTGTAGAACAGGTTCATCTGTCGAGAACCTGCTGATTCTATCGACTGGTTGATGAGCAGCTCTGGTTTCAGTCCACCAACATGTCCTTTGGTTCAGTACAGACCTAGTGTTTCCCACCGATGATGAGCTAGGATCAGAGTTTAAACCTGCAGATCTTTATGAAACCAGCTGAGCAATGAGGTGCAGCCGAACCGCTTCAGAGGCACAAACTCACTCAGAAATTTATCCTGTTCAAACTTCCAGGAAAAGCGATCAGCAGCGAACCCAGGAACGTCTGGATCTGTGGACACTCGCTGGTGTACTGGGCCGAGTCCCGAGCCAAGTCCCCGGAGGTAGGTATGCAGCTGGGCATGGACCCCAGCAGGGTGTCCATCTGGTGGAAGGGAACTCAGGGCATGACGTGGTCTCAGCTGCTGCCTCAGCTGCACCAGCTGAAGGTCACCTGGCCAAACCCCGACGTCCTCATCATACACCTGGGAGGCAACGACCTGAGCACCGACAGCCCCACCGACCTGCTGGCCTCCGTCAGGAAGGACCTGACCTCCATGAGGAGCATCTTCCCGCGATGCGTCCTCGTCTGGTCCAACATCCTCCCACGCAGGGTTTGGCGGCACTCAGCGGACAACCACGAAGTGGATCTGGTCCGAACTACCGTGAACCGCCGCATCCAGAGCATCGTGTCCGAACTGGGCGGCGCCTCGCTGAGTCACGATAACATCCGCTGCGGCGCCAATACGGGTCTGTATCGGGCCGACGGCGTCCACCTGTCTCCTAAAGGCATCGACATCTTCAACCTGAACCTGCAGGACTTCCTGGAGAAGTGGGATCTGGAGGTGAGCGCCGCCTCTGAGCAGAGCTGAGCTGTTTTATGTTCTTTTATTTCCTTTCACAGCCAGACGGTCGCATTTATTGAAAACTGCAGCTCCTCAAAGTCCAGTCATGTGTTTATAGTTTAACATGAAGCTGAAACGTGTTTGTGACGTGAAACAATAAAGTCAGAGTCAACAAGTCTGCTGTTGTGTCTTTTCTTGGTTTTCATGTGCTGTATGGTTTTGCTGAGTCACAGCTTTAGACGTGGTCGTTAATCTCCATAACGAGTGGTGCTGTGGGCTCATTCATATTTATAACATACAGAATAATGTTTGTGTTGTCTAATGAAGTCCAATCGAGTCTCGGCCTTAATGTGTGTCCTGGTCAGGACAGGTAGTGGTTTATGTTCTTTTGATTTTTGGTGTCATAAACGTTACAGGCCAGCAGTTGTGTTAAATGCTTGAAATGTGACTTTCCATCCAACCACCAGCTCAGTGGAGACTTTAGGAAGCTGTTGACCTAAATGACAGGTTAGGGCGAACCCAGGACTGTTTTATGGGTTTCACCGCTTTGTGTCTGTTGTTGTTAAAAACTGAATAAAAAGTGTTTTTTGGGTTTTTTGCTGGTTTTATGACAAAAACACATTTTATATTTTCATATCATAATTATGTATTTATCTGGAAGATCTTTGTAAAGTAAAGTATCGCAAGTTTCCTCTGGTGACTGATCAGAACCAGAACCACATCCAGGGTACCACTGATTGTTTCTATGACTCTGTGTCATAGACATTA